TTGCAGACTCAAACATCTGAGAAAATATGGGAATTCAGTAAATTAGATAAATAAGGAAATTATGAAGAATTTGTCCAAAAATTTATGAACTCGAAAATTTAAAAATGTATGAACCTGAAAATTTGGTAATTTGGGAAAAAGGTTGCAAAGTAAAAACTTGATGAGTACTTATGTATATAAAATCGCGGTTAAGTATAGGAAAGTGTAGTGATTGAAAATGAAGAAATTACGTGTGACACGTGTAGAAATGAGTCCGCAAGATGTCGAATGATTTCCGAATAGCCCGAAGGTAACGGGAAGCAGTCGCAACACGCGAACCACGCAATCACGATGTCAGCCCCGATCTGTCCATCCACCAATAATTACGCTTACTCATTAATTGCCTTCTGCACACCTACTTTTTCTGCCGTTCACTCCGCGATGCAGGTGTAACAGAAACGTTATTCGATTGAAGTGGCCACAGTCGAAAGGACGAAGATGAATTTTTCTTTCTTCCTGGGCCGTTTTAACGTTCGACGGACGTTGAACTCGTGTGCGAGTTCGACAGATATTTTTTATTATTTTTCTGACACGAATATGTGTCTTTTACTGTGAATATTATTTTTTAATTAATGGGTGCAATCGTATGGGGTGGTGAGTGTTATAATTTTATTTGTGCTTAAGGAAAATGGGGATGAGCTTTACAGACTCTATGCAGGGAATTATAAAACATAGGATTCATTTTTAGTAAAAAATTTTTATTTCTAGAAATTTTGATTTTCAATATTTAGATATTTTAATTTTTAAGTTTGGAAATTTGCTATCTTAGAATTTTCAAGATCTTAAATTTTCGAATTTTTCCCTGTTAGTTAATGTCCCGTTAGTTAATGTCCTGTTAGTTAATATCCCATTAGTTAATATCCCATTAGATAATGTCCTGTTAGTTAATATCCCGTTAGTTAATGTCCCATTAGTTAATGTCCTGTTAGTTAATATCCCGTTAGTTAATGTCCTGTTAGTTAATGTCCCATTAGTTAATGTCCTGTTAGTTAATATCCGGTTAGTTAATGTCCCGTTAGTTAATGTCCCATTAGTTAATGCCCTGTTAGTTAATGTCCCGTTAGTTAATGATTCTTTAGTTAATGTCCCGTTCACGTAATTTTTAAAAAATCTAAAAAAAAATGCATTATATTGCGTGGTTGCTTTGCGCGAAATGTCCAAAAGATGTCCTCGTATATCTGAACGGTAGTGTACGTACAAGCTGTTCCGTTTCGTGCGATAATTATTAATCGTTCCGAACGGTACACCATCGAGATTTGTCCCGAGCGAAAGCTTTTAATCTCCCGTCGAGATCCTGGAATCGTTACGAAACGGTGCTTAAAATGCAGGTGCAAGGGAGAATACCTAATAGCGAGTGCAGCTTGAGGGGTGAGGATCAGCAGTAAAAGGAATAATTAACGAGTAAGAGCAATTATCACGGAGCAGCTTGCGCTCGCGACGTCAACCATCATCGAAACTCTTTATCATTTAATTTAATTACCTCGCAATTCGCCGATACATTGTACGCTGCCTATATTAAGGAGAAATTGCCGTGGAAACTTATCAACGTAATACGATATCGTAATTTTGGGATCTAAATAACGAGAGATGAAAGCGCGTGGCGATCTTTAAATATGCGTAGCCATTAGACCTTGATTTCGTGTCGGGGTTCAGCAATCGTTTATCCGGTGTAGGAAGTGCTTATGCTTTTATTTTTGTTATGTAAATGCAACAGTTTTATGGGTTCATTTTATGTAAGTGTTGGGGATGTTTTGTGTGGTCTACGAAAGCTGAGAAAAATGTGAGAGGAAAGAATATTTTATTTTATTTTAATCTTTTCAAGAAATATAGTATATAAGAGAATTATTGTTGTCCATATTGGAACCGCCATTTTGAATCTTTAATTTCAAAACTGTACTTTATGATCCGCGATTCCATAAATGTCCAGATATCGATTTTGAGCAGAAACGGACTATAAATGAAGAAATTTGTCCACCATCTTAGTGCTGCCATTTTTAGTTTTCAAATTTGGGCAAAAAATTTGGTAATGCACGATCTTGAAAAACTTTAGATATCATTTTTAAGTCGAAGCGAACGATAAACGTGGAAATTTGTCCGCCATTTTGAATTTCCTGATAGCGGTAAAATTCAAATCTGCAGAAGGTTTATGATAATATTGCAGAATAAATATATTTCAAGATTAATAGAATGAATTTTGATATTTAATAGTAAATTGATAAAAATATTTATTTTGTTGTTCCTTTACAAAAAGTCTACATGTAAATTATGGTTGAAAAGAAATAAAACCAAAGTTAAAATTAATTCTATAGCAGATTGGTTATAAATTAAAATTACAAATATTAAAATTAACAAAAAAAAATAGAACCAAAATTAAAACTAATTAAATCTCTAGAAATATTTATTTCACTACTCTATTATAAAGATTCATCTATATACAAATATTAAAATTAAAATTATAAAAAGTAAAATCAAGATTAATTACATAAATATTACATAATTTTATAACATTAAATGTTAGTATTTATACTAAATCGCTAAGAATATTTGTTGAACTATTTCATTATAATAATCCATCATACAAATAGATTGATTTCAATTCTCCCGCCACATCATTTAAATCAATATGGCGGCAGATTATACTGTTAATCCCTTCCGTATAACATCATCATATTTATGAACACCAGTATACGTTTCCTCTGAAAGACAAAGTGTTTTGCTGTCGTTATTTGTTTCGATAACACTTTCATCCTCGGTTTGGTTAATTAGCATGATATACGATATTTTGTAGAGGCTGTGAATTAATAATTTGCTGTTTGATTGGCATGCCGATGAAGATAGAATTGGCAGGAGTAAATGCGGATATTAATATCTTGATGATCGGCGGCACAAAGTAATTGATTATCAGCGAAACTGATACGGTGTATGGCAGAAAAAGGCAATTACTTTTTTCATTGCAGTGTTAATATACATGTGTGCAGTGTTCTTTTTACTTTGTTTGTTTAGATAGCGGCAATCGTTAAAGTGGGTTATTGGCCATTTGATGCATAATTAATGATAAATTGTACCGAAGGTGTATTAATAATTAGGTGTTTGATTGACAAGTTGACGAAGATACGATTCGGGAGTATATGCGTAAATATTAATACTGTGAAGATCGAAGATACAAAATATCTCGTTACCGGTTATGTCAATTGTATCAGTTTATTGCACTGCACTGCAATAAATTTAGTGGCAGGGACTGTTATAATAAAATCTCTCCTTTAATTGGGTTGTACGGTGTTGTACCGGTTTTTGAAACAAACTGATAATCTACAGAAAATATACTTTCTATAGTAATTATAAATAGGTAATTGTATAAATATAAATTATATTATATAAGTTATATAAAGATAAATTTTGATTTATACATTTTTAAGCATAACTTATAATTTAAATTTAATAAGAACATAAAATTTGTAAAGGAGTGAATTTAAAATTTTTTTAACCTGAAAATTTGTGAGTAAATTAAAAAATGTCTGTACTTGAAGATTTATAAATTTGAAAATTTCCAAACTTTCTAAATTATCTAAATATCTAAAATTTCTTAAATTAACTAAATTATCAGTGTTCTAAATTTTCTAAATTCCAAAATTCAATAACCTCCAAATTTTCAATATAAGAAATTTTGTTCATAAACATGAAAATTTGTGGATATAAAATTGTGAATAATTCTTCTGATACAAAGTTCGTAAATTCGTAAATAATTCTCTCCGACGATTTCACAACAAATAATTCACGTCCGTAAGACATTCTTTTGACAAGTTGACATGTTCCTTCCGGTTCAGATTGAAACGAACCGATGCAAAGAGAAAGATGCATCCTCTCCAAATGGCAGGAAAGTTTGTGGTCGAATCGTGGGACATTCATTCTCACATTTACGTGCATCGTCACGCAACGTGTCGAAAGTGTCACAGCGTGAAGTGTTTCAGATATCGGAGATGTATAAAGTATCTTTAAACGGGTTATGAGAAAAATAAATTAGTCATAATATGTTTTGATGACCGTAATTATACTTGAAGATCACTTATGAATAATAGAAGTGACATAACCTGAAAAGGTGGATAATAATTATTGTCTTGACAAGTGTTGTGGAAGTTAACAATTAATATGAACACAATTAATATTATATATTAATAATTACATTATGTTATCCATAGTACATAGTGTTGTTAATTAATATTATATACAATATTATATCAATATTGTAATAACACTGTAATAATAGTAATTGTAATATTATATATTGTTATTGTTAATATATTATTAATATCAGCATTAATGTTATAACAATATTCACATTAATTAATATTATTATAGGTCCATTAACTATGTTAGTAAGCAATATTAATTTATGTTAATTTACATTAATATGGTTTACTAATATAGTCAATTATACACGCATAAATGGTATCAAATGTAAATTATGTAGTAGTTAACTATTATTAATTGTAACTATATAATAATTCATTATAGTTGATAACGGTATTATAATGATGAAGTATACGTATGTAATACGTATAATTTACTGTAGTTGATGATGGCGATACAATAATAAACTATAAATAACTGTAGTCAAATCTAACTGTATAATAATTACTATAATTGAAAGCTGTCAAATAACAGTCAACTATATAACAACTTGTTATAATTAGTAATAGTATATCGCAATGAACTACACAGAACTGTATTTAATTGTAACTGTATAATTTACTATAGTTAATAATAGTGACGTAATGAATTATAAATAGATGTAGTTAATTTTAACAATACAGTAATTTACTATAATTAATAACAGTCATATAATAATGAACTATGTGTATCTTCAATTACATAATAACAAATAAACAATTATATATGTACAATGATTAACTATACAATTAATTGTACTTATACAAACTAACTAATAACCAATTAAACTAACTATAACCAATTCTCATTATATTCTATATAATTCCTGTTGTATAACAAATTCGTTCAGTATCCACTTTTACTTTTTATTTTTCCCTTTATTGCCGTTTACGTTCAAATTTTCATTTAAGAAAGAAGTACGTATTTATGCATTACTCTATACATACGCGCAATAAAAGCACAGGTAGTAAGCGTTATTGAACAATAAAATATTATTTATGATAGAAGGCACAGCAAGTGGTGGAATATCATCGTACGACTGCAGATGTTGCATTCATATGGAAAACGATAAAAGATTATTTATAGTAGCGTTTGTATTTCGTTCGATATTGTACATTGTCATTGCCAATGACTTTGTATTCCAGTATGCGTAATAATCAACCTACGCACATCGGACCTGAAATTAAAGTATTGGTTACTGCAGTCGTCGAATACGATCACGTTCGATATATTAATTTTATTATACCAATTATTCGAACCGGGTAATGTAATAAAATATCAGAAGAGTTAATGAATTTGGAAATTTAGGAGCTGAGGAACTTTTGAAGTTTTTTAGAACTGCGTAACTGTAGAGGGTGAGAAATTTAGTAGTTTGGCAACTAGGGAATTTTGGTCATTAAGAAATTTTGAAAATTGGGGAAATTGAGAAATTGGATGTTTAGGAGTTTGTTAGAATTTTTTAACTATAGATATTTTGAAAGTTAGTTTCAGAACATCTAAGGTTTCCCTAGTTCAATTTGAGAACTAGGGAATTTTGACAATTTAGGAATTTTGAAAATTGGGAAAGTTGAGAAATTGGATATTTAGAAGTTTCTTAGAATTGTGGAACTTTAGATATTTTGAAATTTGGTAATTTGAGAACTAGGGAATTTTGACAATTGAGAAATTTTGAAAATTGGGGAAATTGTCAAATCAGACATTCGAATATTTGGACATTAGGAAATTTGGAGACTTGAAAATTTCAAAATTTGGAATGTTGGTAATTGGAAATTTTAAAATTTAGAAATTTGGATATTATAATTTTGGATTTTTGGAAATTTGGTAAGGCTTGAGAATTTGGATATTTGGAAATTTTGGTTAATTGAAAAATTTGAGATTTAGAAATATGGATATTGTAATTTTGGATATTTGGAAATTTGGTAACTTGAAAATTTGAACATTTACAAATTTGGGGACTTGAGAATTCAAAAATTTGTAATTTTGGATAATTGGAAATTTGGACATTATCATATTTGATATTTGGAAATTTGGTAACTTGAGAATTTGGATATTTGCAAATTTGGGGACTTGAAAATTCCAAAATTTGTAATTTTAGATAATTGCGAATGTTGAGTTCTGAAAATGATCATTTTTGATATTTAAAAATTTGGCAAACTAAGAATTTAGATATTTGCAAATTTTGACACTTTAGAATTTGGATATTATAATTTTTTAGATTTGAGAATTTGAATATTTGTAATTTTAGACATTTAGAATTTTAGAGATCCAAAAATTTTGAATATTTAAACATTGGAACACTTGCAAATTTCCCAATTTAATCTAAATATTCAAACATCTAAAATTCCAAATATCCAACAACTTTTATAACTAAAAACCATAACTGAAAAATGACCATCATCGATAATTTAACGTACCATCTGTATATTTCAGCAATCAATACATCTACAAATCATTCGATCGCAAAGACATTGGTCGTTTTCGAAGCATGGTTGAGTATGCAGTCCTGTTGTCTGCTTGGAAGCACACGGCACACGGCCGGCACACGCGCGCACCTTGGAGACATCGCAGGTGCAGTTACCTGCCGGTCGAGTTCTTTCCTCGTTCCACCAGCGCCAGCCAATTATGCAAGTTTCACTTATCCGAAGTTGCCAGGTAGCTTGTTATCGCGGGATGCAAGACCACGAGTGGGTTAAGGACATCGGGACCTGCTTTCAATACATTCCTCCTGAACTACCATTCTTTTCTTTCCTTTCCTTTCCTTTCCTTTCCTTTCCTTTCCTTTCCTTTCTCCTCTTACACGTTTCTCCAAAGATAAAGGAAACGCCATCCTTTATCCTTGCCTTCCGCTCCTTTGACTGTATCCTCGAAATCAATCGATTTCCTGTAGTACATATTAACTCTTTATTGCATGAATTTTTATGATAGCTGAAAAAATATATATGTCCATTAATGTACTTAAAAATTTTATTATGAAATAATATTATATTTTATTTTATTTTATTATGAAATGTTATTTATTGCATTTTAGTACTGCCCGGCAATTTTTATATATGCACATACAAGATCAAAGTCTCCATGTATTATATATAATAACCTTACTTTGAAAATCACGAATATTCTTTAACATAGAACCTTAAATCTGACATTTCTCACACATACTGGATTTATCCTTGCATTTTATTACCTTTGTCCGTTCTCTGTAGAAATCATTTGAAATTTATGTCCCCTGTTGGCAATGGATTGTAATAGAGGGTTAATATATTTAATGTTTTATAGAATTTACGTAATGGCGATGGGGGCGACACACGCATTGACGCCTTTTTCTCCATCTAACGGCATAAATGCTAATCGAGTGCGTTTTCATTGACGCGTCACGGACATTCGCATTACGTGCGTAAACGTGTATTTTCTAAATAAACTTGTTGCAGTCACATTCCGTCATTTCTGTCCATCGATTTTGTTCCACATGTGCTGAAAGTTTGTGTGTGAATAAATAGAAAATTGTGTAACGTTTGACAGTTTATGAATAAGTAGAAAATTATTTTAGTGTGGTTGAGTTTGGTAATGTTTTGTTTGAATGAGTTTGAATTTAGTGAAGTTTTATTGAGGCTTGTGTTTGATCAATTTTTAAGGGAAGGTTTTAGTAAAGTTTTTGGTAGAATAAAGAATTAATATTAGTATTAATATTTATACCTTATACTAGTGTAAGATTTATTTTTATTTAGTAATTTTTGTGTAATATGTATCTAGTAATTTTAGGTTATAAAATAGTCAATTACACACAGAATATGACCTAAGAATATTTTCTAATGACAAATGTAGTTTCTATTATTACAATGTATGTGATTTGAATTTTTCTGTTAATAAAATATTTCTCTGTATAGTGTTAAAAAATATTATCTACATAATTATTTATTCTACAAATCTTGAAAGAATTTTAAAACATTCTAGTCACTAAAATTATAAAAATAATAAATTCATTATTTCGTTTGCAGTTAAATTCTTTTGTTTAATTTAAAATAACAGTAAGCACCAATTTTAAGGTTATTAATCACTGCAATATTTTAATAATTGTAACTTAAAAGTGTAATTGTTAAAATTGTATTAACGTAAATTAAAGGTATTATTAAATAAAATAAATAATAATTATAATAATGATTATTATTAGTATTATTAAATAATAACTATTATTACTATGAATTATTATTTATTGTTATTTATACTATTAAATAAAATGACTAAGAATTATCACTCAATAATAAAAAAAGTAATAGAAAAAAAGTTTCGCAAGTACAAGGTGTACAGGCAAATTTGTATTCGAAACGTAATTTTTTTTTCAGTCGATTTCATTGATTCACTGTTGTCAAGCAAGGAAGCATTCATCGAAAGCACTTTTCGCGCCATATTTAATTCAATTTCCACCGTAATAAATTATAAAGTGAGGTTAAGTAATTTCCAATCGCGTATTATCGTTACTTTCTTAACGCAAAACTCTATGTTATTAACAATTTACGCGCGGCGAGTTGATTTATAAAAGTCACCGTAAATATTTCTGAGCATCGAGAAAGTGGTTTAATTATCTTAAGGTGAGTGTACATCGCAACTGACAAGGTGGAAATTAACGATTAAGCATCGGTGCTCAAATTGGTCAACGTAATTTACAGGAAATTAAACCGACCACCAGAGTTTTTCAATTCTTGCCATCATTGGAGAAATAATTTCGAAACGAATGAATGCTTTAACGCGTCCGAAAATGATTGTCCGCTCGTAATGTGTAACCTCATCAAAAAATTAATAAAAATCTTGGGTACGAGTAAGAAGAAACGATAATACTGCCATGACTTCTCTTTTTTTTCTTCTTTCGTGTTGCTGTTGCGAGGTGTAAAAAGCACAGGCCAAAAACGGGATACGTGGAAAGGTAATTATAAGATGCTGAATACATTGTTGATCTTTAATTATATGGCTGACGTAGAGTGCCGGTATTTAGTGTCAGAATATTCGAACGTGTGAGGATTTAAATATCTATTTTATATATACATTTTTATACATTCTTTTATAGATATAAATATATTTATTTATATGTATTTTTATATATTTTTTTTTATTTATTGATAATGTTTATTTAGGGAAATTAAAGATTATTTTTCAAGAAATTGTTTTTCAAATTTTATAATTTTTTAAATTTTAGTTTTCTAATTTTAGAATTTTTTAAATTCTAGTCTTCTAATTTTAGAATTTTTAAACATTAGATTTTTGAAATTTTCAAATTAAAAATTTTAGACTAAATTTTCGAAAATTTAAATGTTACAATTTTTCAATTTTAAATTTTTTAAGTTTTAGAATTTTCTATTTGAAAATTTCTAAATTTTAGAATTTTTAAATTTTCAAAATCATGAATTTTATAATATAGAATTGTAAAATTCCTAATTTTTCACTTTTCCAAAATTTCAAGTCTCTTAAATTTAATTCAAATTTTTGTAATGCCTGATTTTTCAAAATTTCTCAAATAAAATCTCTTTCATCAATCTATACATAACTTCAAAAGTCATCTACATTCGACTAAATATTATTTAATTTATTTAAACAACTGTACTAAAATTTAATTGTTTTATTTCTACAATCTCTTTCAGTGAATCTCACCATACTCTCAAAAAGATTTAATTTATTCTCTCAACAATCTATATGATACCATAAAAATAGCAATATATAGCAGCAATAAAAAATAAAAAGTATTGCAGAAAGTAGTTTGTATCTTGTTCGCACAAAACGGAAGACTCAGAGTTGCAAGAGCCTGCGGTCCTGACCTACATCGACACGAAGTCCACTGCAGAGCGACGAGAGGGTTCGATTCCAGTTTACCTCCTCTCTCAATGAAAACGCGTCACTAAATGTTTCAAGGTCACAGCAGCTAACCTAATCCATATACAACATAGATTGAACTAAATAGAACCGCGTGCGCGATCAACGAAGGTGGATCCGATTCTAGGAAGCGGCCCAATAGAACGTGTGCAGTGTGCGCATGCGCAGTCGCGGCATTTCTTCGCGAATCAAATCTACTCGCGTCCCTAGCGTGCGCGCGCATCTCTCTCACTCCGCCGCTCCGACTTCCTATTGGTTTCACACAATCATCCCGCTCTTACCACTCGTAGCTTTAGCTATCCACGATTTCCTTCTCTATCTTGCCAACGACCTTCGCCATTTTCTATCTAATCTTCTACGTTCTGCGTTTGATATTCGATATTCGATCAAGGTTTCGAATTTCGCGCTTGAATTTTTCGGTTACGATACTCCTTTGTCTACTGCCTGTATCTTATAATGTTAATATTATAATTCGAATGACTTGAATTTATTACCGAGTTTTGCTACTTTCTTATTATACAGATTCTGTGTTTGATACGTGAAGTTTCAAATTTCGCGCTTAAATTTTTCGGTTGTGGTACTGTTCTCATTGTCACTGTCTATTAACTGAACGTATGGACCATTTATTGTTTTCGTAACGTCCATCTTATGAAGTCGAATAGTGTATGCTTATTTCGAGTGAAATCAAACATATATTGTTCTAGTGGCCTTGTGATGTTGTGTTTTTGGTTTTTAGTACATGTTCTATGACAAGTTGTGTTTAAAAGTGTAGAAATATTTGAATTAATCGAATTGAACTAACAGCGTTAGTGTAGAAGATGTTTCCTGTGAGAGCTGTTGCTAGGAGACGAGGATATTAACAGATTTACGCGGGAAATGAAGGTATTGCATCATACATTGATTTTTGTTAACGATTTCATAATATTAGAATTCGATTATAATATTAGTTGATATGTGATAGGTTTATCAATTTTATTTTATAAAATAATATTATATAATTTATAGTGTAATATATTTTGTACATGTAATATATATTTCATCTGTAAGGTTAAGTGCAACTAAATCAATATACTCATAAATTTTTCCATATTTTAATATTAATTTTTTGATAATTATAAAAAATTTGTGTACGAAGTAAACAACTTATGGGTAGACACACGTGTATGCAATAAGTGTACTGAATCATGTAATGGACAGATAAGAATATCAGTGTTATTTACATCAATTACTAAAAACGATGCTAAGTGCCCATTTTTTTCATGATTAGTTTTAAAAAGAAGCAGTATCTTTTTTTACCATTTTACTACTGTGCACGTGTCACATATTTTAGTTACAATTTATGTTGTCAGTTTTTAGTTTCAAATATAGCTTATAATTTAACAGTATTTTAGTACACATTTGGAACTGAAGGTGTAAATATGGGACTTAGGAATTTTAGAAATTAAAAATTTTTGAATTTTTGTTTTTGAGGAATGTTTAGTTGAAACTTGGAAATTTTAAGAGTGTGAATAGTCTTTAGATATTTTTGAATATTTGGCACTTTTGAATGAGGAAATTTTGGGATTTTGGGATTTTGAGACTTCAGAATGTTAGAAATTTGGAATTTTGGGTTTTTTAGGACGGTTTTTGGAATTTTGAGACTTTGGGACTTAAGAATTTTAGAAGTTTACAATTTTGGGACTTAGGAACTTTAGGGTGCTAGAATTTTGGGCCTCAGGAACTTTGGGACTTACGAATTTTGGGACTTATACATTTTTGAAGTTTGAGACTTTAAATTTAGGGACTTTGGGACTTTGAGACTTCAGAATGTGAAATTTGGAATTTTGGGACTTCGAAATTCCGCAAATTTATGACCTTCAAATTTTGGGACTTACAAAGGTATGCCACAGTAAAACTAACAAAAGAAAATTTCTGTACCCCTCTCTTGCCATCCTACGTACCTACCAATTTTCCTGAACACTTTAATCCCATTTCCCACAATATTACATATCGTACAATCTCATAACCATCCTTTACACAATCTCATAAACCTTTCCAGAATCTATATAAATTACTTCTAAACCCACACATAAAAAATCTACCATCAAACCTTTACTCTCAAAACCCCATAAAATGCACCATACATAAAACCACCCCGTTTCGATTCTCACCCATGTACCCAAATTAAATTGAGAGCTGCGCACGTTTGATGTCACAGGTTAAACGCACGCGTCACCCTAGCCGCGCGTGCGCGTACCTCGTGCGCAATGAAGCGCGAAGCTTTCCGCGTATGCAAAGCAGGAAGGAAGATCCTTTCCGGTGGTTGGAGAGGGGATCGCTTCTCCCCCCACTCCTCTGGCGTAAACTGGTCGCGTGTGAGCTCGGTGGGCGTGGCCTGCAGGTAGCGGAGAGGCACGAGCGACGAGTGCAGGTGAGAAGAGAGAAACCCGAGCAGGTAAGCGGCTCGTCCACGAGCAGACTGTGACGCGCGCTCCACGCGAGACCGTGCGTGTACCCTGTTGGGCAGATCGGGGTCAGTCAGGGTCCTGCTGTTAGTCAGGACGCTCCGAGAGCATCCAAACCGAGGGCTACCTGTGCCTCTAACATTCTCCTTCGTTTTATTACTCGATCCTTCGATCGGAATATATATTTAACTCGAGTGCTACGCGAGTACGGAACCCAGGGCTACTTGCCCCGTTATCGGCCGCTTTGGCGCCAACGAGACCGCGACCTTGCTCAACCACGTGCGAGATCGCGAATGTGAATGGAAAGACGGTGGAACTCTGTGGGGTTTACGTTGTGTACAGGATTTTTGTGAGCCGACTAGTGCCGTTTGAGGAACCGGCTCCATGAACTGTCGGGAGATTTGAACGAAGATTTGATCCACGAACTTGGACGTAATGTGTGGTGAGTTTTTTAATGCGTGCTTATTGGAATATTTGCTGTGCGTAGGGTTAGGAACCTGGTTTCAGGAGGATGGGAAATTATGTGGATGGGAGATAATGAGGGTGAGAGACTAGTTATTATGTGGATAGGAAATTTAAATATAATGTGGATGGGGACTAGTTATGACGTGGATAGGAGACTTGTTATGAGATGGGCAGGAGACTTATAATGTGGATGGATTAGCTATGATGGAGGAAGGGATCAGTGGATGTGAGACTGGTTATGGTCTGATAGGTTAGTTATGATATGTGTAGATTAGTTATGAGGTGAATATATTAGTTATGATATGTGTAGATTAGTTATCATGTTAGATTAGTTATGATGTTAGATTAGTTATGATAGTTCTATGAGACAGTTTGAGGTAGAAGTCTTAATGGAGACCCCAAATGATCACTATATCACTTGGACCAGCATATATTAGCACTATGAGTATCTCCCAAACCATATGAGCTAGAGCTAACATGGTCAAACATAATGGATAGAGATAATAGTTCCACTGGATAATTTGATGTTCATATCATAGTGTATGTCTCAGATGATCACTATACTAGTAGAATCAACATAAATTAGCTCTATGAGTATTTTCCAAAGTGTAGCAGTTAGGTACTATCAAATATAAATTGTATAGATGATAGATTGTTCCAGGGGACATTTTGATGTCCATACCATAATGTGGACTCTGAATGATCACTATACTATTCTATATTCTATTACTATACTAACTAGTAAGCTATAGTAGCTATATTAGCTATACTAGTTATATTAGCACTCTAATTATAGATACTGTAGAAATCCTTGTCAGATACAAATTTTATGATCAGATTTTTCAGATGAAGTCTCCTCAGATTTCTGAAGATCATATAGATCATCTAATGTGGAACATATCTAGCTTCTGTAATTTAAAAAATATTTGTGGTGTCGATTTTTGGTCCTTGAATCATTGTCAATATTTTAGATTGTTAATGATATTGTGTAGAGATGTTGGCTAGTGAGATATATAGGGAGAAATGTGTTGTTAGCTGACTCTGTTAAGTTGCTTGAGTTTAATAATATATGTGACACTTTTTGAACATGGTGAGATATTTATGGTTGTTATTAGAAGAAATATATGATGAATTAGAGGCATATTACGTCGGCCAACAAGTCAGCTGTACATAGTGTAAAAGAGGCCGTAAGAGGATTACTTTTAAAGGTGTACTTTTAGTGTAATTCAATATTGTCAGTATACATGTCAATGTATCAAGATTACAAAGTGATCAATAATTGAGTACCAAAATTTTCTATAACTGAAAAATTAAAAAGAAATTTTAGTTGTAGAATTTTATTTCAAGTGGAATTAATAGAAGGTTAATTACGGTAAATAATAAAATTTTATTGAGACAAGATCAGTAAATTGTGGTGAAATTTTATTGAAATAAATTTGTAAGTAGATGTACTGCGCGCGTCTGACGAGTTGGCAGGCGAGCCAATAGTAGCTGTAGTGTCTTTGAGTGCAGAATTATTCGACACGCACATACTAACGGATATCAATTATGATTAAGTAATCGTGATCAATGATTATATGTTAATTATTTGTTAATCACAATTGATTTATTTATTGATTATTCATTGATCATTTATTAATTATCTTTTAATAAGACTTCTGCTGTTGCATATTGAATACCATATGCTTGATGTCACTTTTAGAATGGAAAAGAGTGCAATTGGAAATTGAAAAATATTTGTAACAACTGAAATGTAGAAATTTGAAATTTCTGAGACTGAAAATTGAAAATTTGAAAATTAGAAAGTGTAACTATTTTCAAATATACAAATTTGAAAATTTTTAATCTGAAAAACTAAAATTTTTAAATCCTTGAAAGTTTGCTAATTGAATAATACTCAAAAGTTCAAATATTAAAAAATCTGAAAATTACTAGAAAATTAGTAAATTGAAGAATTGAGAAGCTTACAAATTAAAAAATATGTATAATAATTTATAAGTACAAAAGTTTTCTAATTTACTAATTTAAAAGTTTGAAAATGGAATAGTAATTTTCTATTTTCACTAGACGTTATTTATACTAGTAAATTATGCTAGTAAATAATTGTACTGGTCATAGTTATATTAATATGTAATTATACTAGTAGACGTTACGCTAATAAATTACTATATTAATAATAATTATGCTAGCAAATACTCACACTAATAAATAACTATACTAGTAATAATTATACTAGCAAATACTCACACTAATAAATAACTATACTAGTAGTAATTATACTTGCAAATACTGAATCTAAAAAATAACTATACTAGTAATAATCACACTAGCAAATACTGAAACTAAAATCTAACTACACTACTAAATACCTAAACTAACATATAACTATACTAGTGATACCAATACCATTAAACAGTTACACAACTAAAACTATAATACCCATAAATCACACAATTTATCAAAATTACAAGTGCTTCGCAATATTCGGTTTATCGAAACCGGTTAATTAAATTATAATCAACGATATTTATTTTTCCATGTGAAAGACAAAACTGCTATCTGACGATACGGCTTTAACAGCATCCAGTAAGGCACTGTCGTATGCTTTTAATTAAGTCGAAAATGAGCGATACTATCGGATTAATTGGATCCTTCCTTCTTACCGTGTACCCGCTTTAATGATTTTTCACCGTGCAAAGTATCGCCCGTATTAATTTATTTATCTCGATCGTTAATCTTCTCAAACGAACTTAAATCATTTAGGACACGACGTTAATTTTCAGAAATTACGCTGATTATACCGTAACGTACACATTGCGACTAAAAATACGAGAGTGTAAACTCATAACACTTACCTCCTTTTTTTGGTTAATAATTTTTACTTTTTATTGAGACGGAATTTATTGGTGCGTCACGATGACGCACTTGGGATGTTTCGCATTGTGGAAATTATTGGAAGGCTTTTGTATGGGAACTTTTGGTTAAATGAGGAATATCTGGGTGAATTAATTAGTGATTCATTAATTATTTATTTATTGTTTTAATTGCAATATTTGGTTTGGTTCAGATGTTATTGTTCGTTGAATATCCACAAAATGAAAGAGTTGAAAATGTGCAAAAATATGTAAAATATATCAGAAATGAAAATATAGAAAATATATCAAAAATAAAAATATAGATATAAAATAAGTAAAAAATAAAAATATAAAAAAAGTACATAAAATGCATCAAAGGAAATCAAAAATGAAAATAGAAAAAAAATATATGAAACATATTAAGTTATAATAGAAATAAAAATATATAAAATATGTCAAAAGATGTAAAATATAAAAATATGTAGATTCTGCGTTAAAAATAAAAATCTCTAAACTATATCAAAATACATAATAAATAAAAATATAAAAACTATATAAGATATATAAAAAACAAAAATATAAAAAAATAGCTGAAAAATAAAAATATAAAAAAATATATAAAATACATCAACATATATGAAACATAAAAATATAAAAAAATATATAAAATACATCAAAATATATGAAAAATAAAAATATATTAAATAAATTACAAATGTGTAACAAAAAAAATATATGTGAAAATGTAGTGTTCCAGTTTTGAAAATATTACACGTTTGTGTATAAAAATAGCACGCCATATTGTTTTTAAATAGACGCAGAAAAATAGTTATTTAACTACGAAGCTCCTCTGACACCATCGTTAGAATAACTTTGCGTATCTATCGTATTAAAAAATATGTTAAATGTATGCACATATTTAAGGGAAAACTGGTTCTTTAATAATATTGAAATAGAAAAATGATTGCACGAACGAAAATTGTATTTTGTGTTGAGTAGTTGAGGGAATTTTTTGTTGTTGTAATATTGTTGTTAGAAAACAGAAAAATACGAAGGTTAGAATATTTGTAACGAATATTAGAAATTTAGAATTATTGTAATTTCAGAACTTTTAGATTTTTGAATTTTCGGGTATTAAATTTAAAAATACTAAAATTCTTAAATTTGTGAAACTTTTACATTTTAAAATTTTTGTAAACTTCCAAAGTTTCAAATTTTTAGAAATTTCAAAATTCAAAATTTTTTAAATTACAATTTTTCAGAATTCTCAAATTTTTGGAAATATTGAATTTAAAAATTCGCAAACCCTTTAATTGGTAAATACCTATATTTATAAGTCACTAAATCTCAAAATTCTCTAATTACCAACCAGCTAAATCCCTAGTTTCTGACATCACCAAATTCCATAATTACCAAATATCCAAATTCCTAAGTTACTAAAACCACAAATTTCCTAATTACTAAATAGCTAAATCCCTGAATTCCAAAATCACCAAATTCCATAATTGCCAAATATCCAAATTCCTAAGTTACTAAAACTCCAAATTTCCTAATTACCAAATAGCTAAATCCCTGAATTCCAAAAGCACCAAATTCTTTAATAGCCAAATACCTAAATTTCTAAGTTAATAAATCCCTAAATTCCACAATTACCAAACAGCTAAGTCCCCAAATTCCAAAATCACCAAATTCCCTAATTTGCCATATTCCCAAATTCCAAAATCACTAAATTCCCTAATTGCCAAGTACCCAAATACCCAAGATACTAAATTCCCTAATAACCAAATAGTTAAATTCCCAAATTCCAAAGTCACCAAAATTCGCTAACTGCCAAATACCCAAATTCCTAAGTTACTAAATCCCAAAATTTCCTAGCAACTAAATAACCATATCCCTAAATTTCCAAAACCCCAAATTACCAAATACCAAAATTCTGACATTCCCAAATCCCCAAAACCCCAAATTCCCTATTTGTTAAATACCTAAATCCCTAAATTTCCAAATCTCAAAATTCCCTAGTTACCAAATCCCCAAATGTCTAAATTCTGAACTTACCAAATCCCCAAAATCCCAAATTCCCTATTTGTTAAATACCTAAATCCCTAGATTTCCAAATCCCAAAATTTCCTAATTACCAAATCCCCAAATTCCAAAATTCAAAATTCTTTATATTTTCAAAATCCCAATACTCCAAAATTCCCCAAATTGGAACACCCCCAAATTTCTCCAATTCTCAAATTTTTTAATTTTCAAATTTGCATCTCAGAATTAAAAATAGTACAAATTCAAAATCGATAAAAAAGCAATTCTCAAAGTTAAAAACTCTTGATTCATTCTTACATTGTTCAAGTTTCTGCTTCCAAAAAAAGCATAAATAAAAAGCAAATGTTTGTACAATCTGTTCTGTGGTTGACACATTCGTACCAGATTTTAGTGGACAGCTGTTCTTATCACCGATTAAGAAAACTTATCAACTCTTGTTATTGCTATCTCAGTTCCAGAAAGTTTGATTAAAAGAATTTAATGACGAACGTTCACAATCGTTTGCATTGACACTTGCTTTTTAATCTATTATCATAGGTTAAGCCTTCTATTTTAATTCTTTTTGTATCTGCTTAGTCAGAATTAATTATTTTTTATTGCAACATTAAGAAAAATAAAAATAATTCATAGATTAATTTCTTCAAAGGAAAAAGAAGTGGTTTAATTTTGTTGGTGTAATTATTTTTACTCTTTAAGATAATTTTAAAAATTTATTAATTGCAAAAATTATATAAATAAATTTACTTGCTGTAAAAATTATATGAAAAAGTCTATTCATTATTAAAAAAATGATTTTGTATCCTTTCACATTCATTTGGGTAATTATATCTCACTTATTATAACAATTATACAAATAAATTTATTAATTTTCAAAAGAAAATTTTTTTAAATGATATTAAATAATATTACACTCATTTGAAGAAATTATATTGTACAATAAGATAGTTTCTTATTGTATGATAATTTGTCTCATTAAATAATAAAATTCTAGCAACGTGTGTAACATTTTTAATTGTCAGATTTCTATTTGTAGTCAAGACTTATATATTCTTGTATTTAAATTTGCCGCGAGATTTGGACCACGTGACCACCGCGACGCACTTTGTGACAAGTTCCGTTTACTGCAAGAGCAGTGCGTACGAACGCACGTGCGTCATATTGTGACAGCGAGGATTTCTCTTATATTCAAATATATGTATTTAATCTCGTAGTTATAATAATAGATTCAACAAAATAGCTCAACAATAAATATTTCTTTAAAGTCGACAGAACTGTCTGGTTTATTGAATACAATGGAGATTTATAGGGAACAGTGTTTCGGTTATTTCTTTGGTAATCAGTGGATAAACAGCGAGCCGAATCGATCGAGAAGTCTGCTATTCTGGGTATGTTGACGTTTCCTGTTCTTCTATTTTCAATATCGGAAAGCGAGGGAGGTTTGTTTGATTAGAATCGTAATTCGTAGCTTTAGATTTCTTAGATAGAAATGATTTATTATACCCTGTTTACATTGTGCGACAAACGTACCGAGTGGAATAATGTTAGGTTAAATGAAATAATATAAATGATATCAAAATAATGTACATAAACAATATAAATCCAATATAAATCCAATATAAAAACGATATAAAAACAATAGAAATTTGTAAATACAAATACTACAAAATAACCTAAATGATATAAAGTAAATAATACATTAATAAAATGAATACTATGAAACACTATAAATGATGTATAAATAATACACGTGAATAATACAAGTACCATAAAATCGATTTTAATTATTTTTGCAGAAATTAAGTTATAATAATTTGTATTTTAAAATCACGTATTGTAATAAAAAAATATAAAGGTTAAAATTTCGTAGATTTCCATCTGTGGGCTAAGATTGCATCAGTAAATCGTGAATCACCCAATTTAATTATTAAATCAAGCAGGAGTGTGTTGAATATTAATACCCGAACAACAGATCCTCTTACCACGATAATTCGTACTTACGTATCTGCCCCAATTTGACGTCATGTGCTTCGAAATTATTATGTTCTCGTTCTCTCCCTCGGATTGACGTCATTTCATTCTAGAATCATAGTTCTTATATTTTCGTTTGAAGACGATAAGATGGGGAAATTGGTATGCAACTGTGTTATATGTATACGAAATTGCATTGTATATGAAATTATGGCATTTATGAAATTATAACTCATACGAAAATGTTCTATGTACATGTTATGCATATAGAAATATGTACTAAATATATATGAAACTGTCGTTTATGAAATTATAACTTATATGAAAATGTGCAATATATGGAAGCATGTCATATATGAAGTTGTACTACATATGAAACTTTGTCATATACGAAATTCTAACCTATATGAAATTGTGTCGTACATGAAATTGTGCCTTATATACATATGTGCCATACATGTATTGTGTCATATATGAAATTGTACTGTGTACGAAACTTTGTCATATATAAAGTTGTAACTTCTGTAAAATTATACTGTCTTATTTATGAAATTGTAAGTTATACAAATGTGCAATATATGGAATGTTGCAATATCTCAGTAAATAAGTAACAAAATTTATTGGAGATCATGTAAAATATTAATTTTTATCATGAATAAAAAAACAAGTGCAATGACATCTGAATTTCGAATTAAAAAATTTAGAAATTTGAGAAATTTGGAAAACTGAAAATTTTGAAATTTGGGAAGTCGAGAATTTGGAAATTTGGAATTTTGAAAATTTGGAAAATTTGGAAATTTGAAAAATCGAAAATTTGGAAATTCGGAAATTTGGAAATTTGGGAAGTCGAGAATTTGGAAATTTGGAAATTTGGAAATTCGGAAATTTGGGAAGCCGAGAATTTGGAAATTTGGAAATTTGGGAAGTCGAGAATTTGGAAATTTGGAAATTTGGAAATTCGAAAAATCAAAAATTTGGGAAGTCGAGAATTTGGAAATTCGAAAAATCGAAAATTTGGAAATTTAGAAAATCAAAAATTTGGAAATTTGAAAAATCAAAAATTTGAGAAATTGAGAATTTTAAAATTTGGGAAATCAAAAATTTCGAAATTTGAAAAATCGAAAATTTGAGAAATTGAGAATTTTGAAATTTGGGAAATAAAAAATTTCGAAATTTGAAAAATCGAAAATTCGGAAATTTGGGAAATTGAGAATTTCGAAATTTTGAAGTTTGAAAATTTGGAAAATTGAGAATTTGGAAATTTGGAAATTTTGAAAATTGAAAGTTTGGAAATTAAAAAATCGAAAATTTTGAAATTAGGAATTTAAGAAATCGAAAATTTGCGAATTTGTATAATCGAGACTCGTATATCCCGTCCACTGTTTTTCCACTTGCTCAATTTTATTTTAGTGAAAACACTATGCAAATGTTATTTGGTTCGAAGGAATAAGTGACGAGTCGGTGATTGACATCGAACTCGGACTTTATGGTTCACTTATCTATGTTAAATAAAGCCAGCTTGTACACATATCCTGCACAGTCATGTTTGCAAATCGAATTACAGATTTATTCAAACAACAACCTAACCACATTCGCGGGAAAACGCTAAACTTATCAGTAGTTCAGAAAACCTTCGACTTAACGATTTACTTATTTACTTCTACTTTATATATAACTTATCTTCGCTCGTTTTTTAAAACAAAGCTTAATGTTAAAATTATTCAATGAACAAAGGCTGGTATCAGTTGCTTCACTAATCTTACATTATTTGTTTAAGTATTATTCCATACTTGTATTATTATTATTTAAATATTATTGTGTACTATAAATATTATTTTATAAAACATTATTTTAAAAACAAATTAATATAAATATTATGGTGTACTGATTGTTTTGTAAAATTAAAATTAAATAGATAAGAAAATTTGATGTATTAAATAAACATAGATTACTATATTTAAATATTTATACATGCAAATAAATAGATAAATAATTTAACCTGAAATAACGTATAAATAAATATAAGGTACTTGAAGTACATATACAAATAAATACACTTTATATGTGTAGTATTGTTGTAAAGAATATCTGCTTCCTCAGTACTTTGAAGGTTTTGAATTTCGCGCGGAAATGCCTTTAACCCATCATCCCGCCTTATTGTTTTATGTGCGTGTCTCTTGCAACAGAGGAACCGAGTATGTACGAGTCGAAATAATAAAGAATTCTACGCCTCAAGAAAAGTTCATTAATCGAATAACAACAGTATGCAAATAAATACCTGAAGAATAAGAGATGAAATACAAATAAACAGAAGATATAACTTGCAGTATATAAACACAACGTACAAATAAACAGTACGATTTCAAATAAATACTTACTATGCAAATAAATACCGAAAGAATAATTGTGCATACACAAATGAATTCGTGAGAAATATAATCTTAAATACATAAAAATATAACCTTAAATTTACAGTCAAAATAAATAAATAAAAAATAACCTCGACTGTCAAAATAAATACTGCAATATAACCTCAAATATAGAATATTAGTTTTCTACAAATATATTAATTTTAATAAGATATTAAAAGTGGTTCTTTTTTTTAGTGTTCATACGTAATTTATAAATACAAAGGATTTAAACAGACGCAGAATTAATAGTGAGTTTCGTTATGAATAAAGTTCATCGAGCAATCACGTCCGTTTCAGGTTGCGATCAGATTAGAGCTGTGTCTCCTGGATGAACACACGCGTGCATGTTCAACGATACATAATTCATAATACTCGTTCGAGGGACGAACATGTTTCTGATTTTCCTTATAAATCTGATAACTGTGGCTGACTATGAGTCGTCGGAATAATGCATTAACTGGAGCTCGGTTTTAACTACAACATATATTCCCTTTAAAGAGGAACTTGTATTTTATAAAAATGCATTAACAACTGACACTTTTATCTTGCGTTGTTATTTTATTCCTTGTCCTATTATTTTCAATTTTTTTTTATAAATTTCATTGTGTAAGATTTTAGCAAAGATTAATATTAATATTTATGTTTTATTGTAAATTTCATTGTATAGTAATTTTGCAAGAAATAATGTTACTATTTATGTTTTATTATAATTTTCACTGTATAGTAATTTTGCAAGGATTAATATTAATATTTATGTTTTATTATAATTGTCACTGTATAGTAATTTTGCAAGGATTAATATTAATATTTATGTTTTATTATAATTTTCACTGTATAGTAATTTTGCAAGGATTAATGTTACTATCTATGTTTTATTATAATTTTCACTGTGTAACAATTTTGCAAGGATTAATATTAATATTTCTGTTTTATTCAAAATGTCACCGTGCAATTTCACACAAATTAATATTAACATTTAATTAATTCTCTACACAAATTAAGTTTAATTAACAGTCAAGATTTAGGAAATAGAGATTTTTAGTTCAGTTTTAATTTAAACAAATTTTAGTTGAATGTAAAATAGGAAATAAATATTTGAAGTTGCATGTAAAATATGAAATGTTCTATTACTGTTGTTTAAAAGTCCCGTTTTAAAAAATAAGTCTCCATTAAGAATACTGTCATTAAAATTCGATACAGTTTTCGAAACCGTTTCTTCATAATCAAATGAAAACTAAAATTGTACAAACACACAGATTAAATGCTTCCCTAGAGATCCAGTCTGTTCCCGAAACTTATTCCTTCCATATTTTTTCATAAATTGAACATTCTAAATCTATTTCTTCCATAGTTTGTGTAGGCCCAATAACTATACCCTTCACCGATAGATACATAAAATAAACCACCCTAAAATGTATAAAACGTCATCGGGACCCACAAGGACCGTCGAGGAAACAGATTTCACAAACTCGATTCGCGGAAGAATACAGGAAAAATAAGTTTCAGACTAAACTCATCGTTCACCGAGACCCGCCTCGTAATAACAATTTCCAGGGTGCCTTTTCGAAACAATAGCGTTACAACTATCAAGTAGCTTCGAGGTTGAGTCTCCGTTATTCAATGACGCGCAGCCAGTAAGTCCTAACCTCCATCGCGCGCGCTATACAACAGTATCTATAAAAATGATTACATGCCCAGCATCGTCGAGGCATTCGCAATTTAATCGAACCGCTTCAAAAACTTTCTGCGACGTATTTCGCGAACGTGCGATCGCACGATCGCTCGACGCGTTCAATCGATGACAAAGCCGATGCGCGGATAAAACACGCGTACACGGTTAGTTACGAAATAAAACGGCATCCGCGCTACTTTCAAAAGCTCCACAACGGAGATAAGCTGTGCCCTCGTATTAGGAGAGGTCCTCGCATCAGGCACCTTTACCCCGTAATAAAAATTCGCTCGACATATTTCGCGAACGTGCGATCGCTCGACGCGTTCAATCGATGACAAAGCCGATGCGCGGATAAAACACGCGTACACGGTTAGTTACGAAATAAAACGGCATCCGCGCTACTTTCAAAAGCTCCACAACGGAGATAAGCTGTGCCCTCGTATTAGGAGAGGTCCTCGCATCAGGCACATTTACCCCGTAATAAAAATTCGTTCGCAGGTCAAAAGCGATTCCGTTGTCCACATACCGCGTCCTTATTTTAAAGTTTGCTTCGACCATCAATTTTGAAATATTTGTACGACGAATACAGGGAAGATTATTGTTCTGTTTATCAGAAGCGGTGCCACGAACCTGGTACATGAAACCGGAACTTCACTGCAATGCAATTGGAGTTCCGGCGGGTGCATTGTCACCCCCGGCCACACTTTCACCACCCAGTAGTCCAAGTGTCACGCTGCCGCCGTCGCCTTGGAGCCCTGGCACCGCCGGAAGTAGCCTGAGCACCGCCGCATCCTCCAATCCTTCATCGGTTTCCTCTGTGAACTTCAGTCAACTGACTACGGACCGATTTAGCGCTTTCACCCTCGTCTCGACCTGCAATCCAGACACGAGACTTCAAAACCTGCCATTAACTACCGCCACTGCGGCACGAGGTAAGAAAGTTTTGTTCTTTTATTCTTGTGGATGTGTGCGTAGTCATGATCAGTGACTAGTATATGTAAAAATTCAAATTCGGACATGATCATATATGTACATTCCTAAAACTTTCAAATTTTATTAAAATTTATGATGTCAAGAATATATATTTTTAAGTTTTGGTATGCTGAGGCTCATGTGATTCCAAATTTCTATATGTTCAAATCTGTAAATCTCTAAATAGCTGTGTGCATATCAAAACCACAGATTTCGGACTTTAGTACAGTATAAGTATTGTATAAGCCAACCATACTAAACCATACTAAACCGTACTAAACCAATGCTTTGCTTTGTCCTCAAATGTCTATATACACGAATTTCTATTTCTTCAAATCCTTGTATCCACAAATTCCTATATGTATACTAAATCTCTACCTCTCTAAATTCTAAGATTCCCAAATTTCTATAGCGTCAAATCTCTGCGTCCTCAAATATCTATATGTCCAAATCGTTATTTCTCCAAATTCCTATATGCCAAGTATCGACATTTCAAATTCCTATATCCCAAATACCTAAACCCCTAATACCCATGTCCCAAATACCTATATCTCAAACCCCTATATCCCAAATACCTATATCTCAAAGGCCTATATCCCAAGTACCTATATCCCAAATATCTAAACCCCCAATACCTATGTCCCAAACTCCTATATCCCAAATGCCTATATCCCAAGTACGTACATCTCCAAATCCCTATATCTCCAATTTCCCATACACCAAACCCCAATACCCTCAAATTCCCACATTCCCAAACACCCAATTCTCAAGTTGGAACCAAAATTGCGTTTCAGAGATGCGCTGCGGACTAATGTATGGGAGTTATGGATCGACAGGGGCCGCATGGTGGGCACGACACATGGGTATCCTGTTGCCCCCTTCACTGTTGCCACCCTCGAGGATCCCTAATCAACAAACCACCACACCGGTCGCAAATTGCTCCCCCATTCCCCCCGACACTTTGAGCACATCCAGAGCCGGTTCACCCCGGAGGTGCACCCCTGAGAAGCCTAAGTTCGGTGAGAATTTTGATTAATATCATCAGTCGTTGTAAAATGAGACTGTGGGAGGCGTTTCGTACGCCATAGCACAGTGCTGTAATTTCATTATACAGGGTGTCCTAACTTTTACTTTATTTTTAATGATAGAAAAAGTGTCAGAGGAAATTATTTTGTTCAAATGGTCAAATATTGTGGCTATAAAATTTTTCTTGGGGTATTTTTCAGATTTCAAGGTCATTTATTTCTTTTTGGTGGTAAATAGATATTTTATTTAAATGGCATAATCATACTATGATTTGATGTTACAAATGCAACGACCTATAATACTCTGACCTTCACTTGACCTTGAAGAACAAAAAACACGTAAAAGCAAGTTCAATGTCAAAATTCATAAAGAATTGAACAAATATATTTTTCGCATAGTAATTAAAATTGAAATTGTCTTTTTTTATTGTGCTATTTTTTTCTTCTTGCTATTAGAAATGATTTAAAAATATTATCGGGACAATGTTATCGCGAGCGACGGTTATTGGCCTGTTATTATCGATAACGAAAAAGCGTACAATTAAACTAGTTACGAATCGTTTCCGGGTGATGTATACCCCACGATTTCGATAATCGTACACCAACGATTGTGCTTTCCTTCGTTTTGTCGACCGATAAGGAATTAGGTTCGTGTTTCGACGATAAAACGTTTGCGCGATACGTAACTGTGCGAAAATGGTTTACGACGCTCGTTATATCTGACGAGAGTCGAAACTTTGACTTATATTGCAGCATTTTGTGTTTTGAATGGATGTGGTTCTTTTGATGTAATAGAACGTGATTATATTATAATTGTGATGGTACATTTGTTATATTGTATGTAATGGAATTATAATTATTATTGTAGTAATATAATGTATTATATTATATATTATTATTATTGTTGTATTATATGTTTATAATTTATTTATAGTTCATTTGCAATTGACAAATTTCAATTTTGACAAGTTTCAATTGACAAAAATTTCATTGACAAAATTTTGTCAAAATTTTATTGACAAAAGTTTGTCAAAATCTTTTTGACAAAATTGACAAATTTCAATTGATAAAAATTCCATTTTTAGTACAAGGTTTATTATACGTTTATATACATGTGTGCTACATTTATTACATATACATACATATATTATCTAGTATACACAAAGAAAATTTTCTTTTATAACAATTATTAAATTATTCATTTTGAAAATATTAAATTATTGTAAAATTTCAATTTATTTATTTATTTTTCAATTTCTGAGAAACTATACAGTACTTATAAATTGAGAAATATATAATTATTTATTAAATACTTGATTCAGTAGTTTAAAAAGTGAAAAAGAAAATTCTTGTTATTAATTTTCAGAAGAGGAAGCACCACTGAATCTGAGCACCAAACCAAACGACGTTTCGTCGAGTGTTGGTCGAAAAAGTGAAATTTGGTCACCAGGAACAGTGTGCGAGAGAGAAGCGAAAGAAACTAGGATACCATCTTCCAGGAGTCCATCTTCCACGCCTGTAATCACCAGACAAATTCATCACTCACCCTTAACGCCGCCATCTTCGTCAGAGAGAACCTTCCAAGTGAGTTTTCTGTTCAAATTTTATTATAAATAATATCAAAGCATTATTAATTTATTAACTAGTACTATTAGCCTCTCTTATATTATTAATAGTATTGATTTTACTGTAAACAATATTAGGTACTAAACGTGTTTAAATTTAATAAATAATTTGACTGATACTTTATTGTATGTTAATTAAAGAAATGTTTAAAACTGCAAATAATTTTTCTAATTCTTGAAATTCTTTTGATGACAATTAAAATTAACGAAGATTAAAATTCTTTCTTAGACGAGGAACATAAAAATCTTTGTTTAAATGAACGTAATAAATAAACAAGTTAAATAATTGCCATTTAGTTTTTGTAGTAATTAAATAGCCTTTTAAAAATACAAATAGTTCTTTGAACTAGAAATATAAAAATCCTTGTCTAAAGCAAAATTAATATTAAACAAATTAAATAATTTTCATTCAATTTGGTAAATTCTCTATTCATATTAATTAAACCATTTCTCTCTACTGATATTAACTAAACAAATTCTATTTACCTATATTCATTAAACAAATTCTCTTTATGTATGTCAATTTAACAAATTTTTAAGAAAATAAATAATAATTTTGTAAATCACTGTGTGAACATAAAAATGCTTGCTTGAAACTAGTCGATGGTTCACAGAAGAAAAAAAGGATCACCAGGTCAAGTAAGAAGGGTGGCGAATGATTTTCTGGAAAATAAAATCGATATCACTCTTGGAAATCTTTTACGTGTCGTTTTTCGACCAGAGAACTGATAGTAATAGTCGAAAATAAGTATAAATCGAATATTCTGTACATTCGTGTACTTCTGTCAACGTGCCAAGTTGTTTTACGAGGTTGGTAAACATATGTTTCGAGGTTTTATTGGTAATAAAGTTGCAAGCTAAAGGGTACAGTGATCGATCTGAGATTATATTGGTGGTTGTTGTAGAGTTTATTGATTTGTGGATGGAGGATTTATTTTTAAAGTGATTTTAGTTGCGGTTTTTGTGGTTTAAGGTTGTTAATTTTCAAGTTTTTAAGTTTAGTAATTTTTAAGTTTTCAAGTTTAGTAAATTTCAAGTTTTTAAGTTTAATAATTTTTAAGTATTCAAGTATAGTAATTTTTAAGTTTTCAAGTTTAGTAATTTTCAAGTTTAGATGTTTAGTAATTTTCAAGTTTTCAAGTTTAATAATTTTCAAGTTTTTAGGTTTAGTAATTTTTAAGTTTACAAGTTTGGTAAATTTCAAGTTTTCAAGATTAGTAATTTTCAAGTTTAGATGTTTAGTAATTTTCAAGTTTTCAAGTTTAATAATTTTCAAGTTTTTAGGTTTAGTAATTTTTAAGTTTACAAGTTTGGTAAATTTCAAGTTTTCAAGATTAGTAATTTTTAAGTTTTCAAGTTTAGTAATTTTCAAGTTTTCAAGTTTAATAATTTTCAAGTTTTCAAGTTTAGTAATTTTCAAGTTTTCAAGTGTAATAATTTTCAAGTTTTCAAGTTTAGTAAATTTCAAGTTTTCAAGTTTAGTAATTTTCAAGTTTAGAAGTTTAGTAATTTTCAAGTTTTCAAGTTTAATAATTTTTAAGTTTAGAAATTTAGTAATTTTTAAGTTTTCAAGTTTAGTAATTTTCAAGTTTTCAAGTTTTATAATTTTAGTAATTTTCAAGTTTTCAAGTTTAGTAATTTTTAAGTTTTCAAGTGTAGTAATTTTCAAGTTTTCAAGTTTTATAATTTTAGTAATTTTCAAACCTTCAAGTTTAATCATTTTTAAATATAAAAATTTGGAATTTTCCAAATTATATAAAGGATACTTATACATACATATGTATATTATTTATATTATATTACATTACTTCTATGAATGATATTTGTATATATTACTTATGTTATATTACTCATACAACTAATACTTATACATTATTTATATTTTACATATCATATCTCCAAAAGAATGCAACAAAAGTTCAAACTCAGCTCAAAATCAACAGCGACACTTAAATCATATCTAACTCTTCATTTTCTAATTGTACGCCATATTGTTTCACTTCTGCGCATGCGCAGATAAATATTATTCATATTACCGTAAGTTACGGTAACAAATTCTATTACTTATATTAATAACTAATACTTGTATATATTATATATACTAATATATATTATTTATATTCTATTATTCGTAATAGTATGTAACAAAAATTACATTTAATCACTTAATCTAATATTTAACTTCACAATTTCAAATAGGACGCTTTGTTCCACTTTTGCGCATGCGCAGATATATATTATATATATTACTCTTATTGTACTTCTTACACTACCGTATATTACAATAACATATTATATTACTTATATAAACAACTAATACGTATACATTAGTATAACTATATTATTTACATCCTATTACACATAACACATGCGCAACAGAATATAATACAAGCTACATTTAATCATATAATCTAACACTTAACTTCACAATTTCAAATAGTACGCTTCGTTCTATTTACGCGCATGCGCAGAGCGCCTTTGCGCCTGCGCGTGATGCAAAAGCGTGAAAGGTAGCGAAACTGCGGTTTCCGTGTTGCGAAATGTCCTCGCTGCCGTAAAGGAAGGACACCGTTGGGCAAAATTTTTGACACACGATCCGGTTTTTTGAAAGGGGCGAGGAGCGACGGGGGCAGATCGGCCTTTTTTCGCCCGGAATCAGGATGGTATGACGAGCGTGTGCCCCAGATATCTTAATATGTCCGCTCGCAGTTACATGTCCCGTGTAAAACGCTCGCCGAGCGGGTTTCTGCTTCCATTCAATCAGCCCGTAATTGCGCCGCCGTCTTTTGTCGAGATTTTGCCGACATTCGTCAAACGTTTGACCCGTTTCTTCGAGCACACTTTGGGACACTTGCGCCACCCGTGAAACCACCATCGCGTGACTCCCGTGGATTTCTCCTTCTATGCTAATGTACGCAATGGGGTCCATCGGGTCACACGATACCATACCGTTGTTCCTTCGATTTACTGTGCCTGGACAAATTAGTATGTCGCAAAAATAACGGAACTTTTTAAATAAAAAGAAAAGAATTAGTTATTTTGACAAAATTAATTTTTTGTCGTTTTGCGGAATCGCTTCAAACACCCTTGTCACAGCTGCTTGGACTTGTGTAACGATGTCATAAAACGTTCCTTTTACAGCTAATTTCAGTTTTGGAAAAAGGAAGTAATCACGTGGAGATAAGTCAGAATTTGAAGGATGTTAGAGCAGACTTGTTTTTTCGCTAAAAAGTTCACATGGTGCGTTATCAAGCAACAGAAACCAACTTCCCAGCGCTCGATATTCGGGCCTCACACGAACGATCCTCTTCCACAAATGTTCCATAACACCCAGATAATATTCGCCATTAACATTTTGTCCCTGTGGAACGAATTCCCGAAGTATAATTCCTTTAGAATCGTAAAAGCGAATTAACATTGTCTTCTCGAGGGACTTCTGGAATCGCAATTTTTTGATTTTGGAGAGCCTGGAGATTTCCACGTAGCACTTTGGCGCTTTGTTCGAGGTTCATACTTGAAGCACCAAGTCTTGTCACTAGTTACAATTGATTCCAGGAATGTACAGTTTCGTCTGGCTGTTTTGATAAGATCCTCGCAATATTCAACGCGAGCAATTTGTTGCGCTTGCCCGTGATTTTGTGACGCGGTGACGAAAGGTTCTGTCGCATTAGACGCTATAAGTTTACAATCCGTTGCTCGATTCCAATAATGATTGTCGTGTTTTGTAGGGGAGGACTGTTTTCAGATAACATATTTTAATAGTAGTAGTTTTCCTTAAATTTAAAAGATTCCGTTATCAAATTTTCTCTAAATTAATTCTATGAACCTCCTATGAACTTCCAAATAGAATAATATCAAACTTAAGATGAAATCTTCCGAAGAACCGATAAAAGAAACGTGATAAGTCCGACGCAAAGGAGGTTTCGACGACATGTTCGTCTCGAATCTTTTCGCATCAAGTTCAGAGACGAGCCGCGTCATCCAGAATGCACCTTGCGATGCACCGCTTACTGCATTTGGACGACATGGAAGAAGTCCACCGAAACTCGTTCGCGTGTCCCTTTGGGACACCGTAGAACGTGTAATGGCTTCTAAAGAGCTTATAAATCGTTCGTTTCGAGGTTTCCCAGAAGAAACATCGATCGTCGCAAAAAAAAGGCATCGCAAGCCTTGTCCGACTCCATTTTCTTCTCTCCCGTTCGATGCTCGACCAAAACAATATTTCTGCGGATTTATATAAAAATCTTCGGGTAAATCTTTCGTTTCTACTGTTTCTATTCGTTGTTCAATTTGATCATTTTAGTGAATGGGAATTCTGGGGCATTTGGATATTTGTGAATTTGGAAAATTTAGGTAGAAAGTTTGAAAACTTGGAGAATTTGGCGAATTTTGACAATTTAGAAAATTTTTAGGAATTTTGGGGAATTTAGGGAATTTGGGGAATTTTTGAGAATTTTGGGAATTGGGGGAATTTTTGAGAATTTGGGGAATTGGGATATTTATGATTTTAGGAAGTTCAGAGTGGAAGTTTGAAAACTTGAAATATTTGAGAGATTTGAAGAATTTGGAAAATTTAGGGAATTTAGGGAATTTGAGGAATTCAGATATCTATGAATTAGAGACGTTTAGGGTGAAAGTCTAAGAACTTGAAGAATTTGGGAATTCGTCGAATATAGAGAATTTAGGGAGTTTAGGGAATTTGGAGAATTTCGATAAATATGAATTTGGAAAATTTATATAGAAAGTTTGTAAACTTTCAGATCACATCACACTTTCCTTTACACAACTTAAAATTTGAATTTCCCTGCAACAAAAGCATCATCCATAATAAAAGCAGTGCGTAACGGTGTTAAGTTCGCCAAACGAAAGCATGCAGTTAAGGTTCGAAAGACTATCATCGCTCCTCATTATTGATCGAGGAGGGATGTGAATCATGCGTGGTCGCAACTCGGGACTACCGGTACCGATGCACGTTGGTAATAATATTCTATGGTGGTTCGTACGCGATTCCACGCGTGTATCGTGAAAAGAGACACGCCTAGGTCGACACCATTGTCCGGACTGGCGCCCGTGTCACAATAAGCCCGAGAAAAAAAAACTGAGGCTCCGTGAACACAGGTGCGTCTGGCGTGTCGTTCTTCCTCGAACACCACGCCGATTTCGATTGGCGAGCTAAAACGTTCCGGTTTCGTGTACCAACTGCGTTGCACCGCTTCTGATAAACAGATCAACAATCTTCCTTGTGTTCGTCGTACAAATTCTTCAAAATTGATGGTCGAAGCAAACTTCAAAATAAGGACGCGGTATGTGGACAACGGAATCGCTTTTGACCTGCGAGCGAATTTTTATTACGGGGTAAAGGTGCCTGATGCGAGGACCTCTCCTAATACGAGGGCACAGCTTATCTCCGTTGTGGAGCTTTTGAAAGTAGCGCGGATGCCGTTTTATTTCGTAACTAACCGTGTACGCGTGTTTTATCCGCGCATCGGCTTTGTCATCGATTGAACGCGTCGAGCGATCGCACGTTCGCGAAATATGTCGCAGAAAATTTTTGAAGCGGTTCGATTAAATTGCGAATGCCTCGACGATACTGGGCGTGTAATCATTTTTATAGATACTGTTATATAGCGCGCGCGATGGAGGTTAGGACTTACTGACTGCGCGTCATTGAATAACGGAGACACAACCTCGAAGCTACTTGATAGTTGTAACGCTATTGTTTCGAAAAGGCACCCTGGAAATTGTTATTACGAGGCGGGTCTGGGTGAACGATGAGTTTAGTCTGAAATTTATTTTTCCTGTATTCTTCCGCGAATCGAGTTTGTGAAATCTGTTTCCTCGACGGTCCTTGTGGGTCCCGATGACGTTTTATACATTTTAGGGTGGTTTATTTTATGTATCTATCGGTGAAGGGTATAGTTATTGGGCCTACACAAACTATGGAAGAAATAGATTTAGAATGTTCAATTTATGAAAAAATATGGAAGGAATAAGTTTCGGGAACAGACTGGATCTCTAGGGAAGCATTTAATCTGTGTGTTTGTACAATTTTAGTTTTCATTTGATTATGAAGAAACGGTTTCGAAAACTGTATCGAATTTTAATGACAGTATTCTTAATGGAGACTTATTTTTTAAAACGGGACTTTTAAACAACAGTAATAGAACATTTCATATTTTACATGCAACTTCAAATATTTATTTCCTATTTTACATTCAACTAAAATTTGTTTAAATTAAAACTGAACTAAAAATCTCTATTTCCTAAATCTTGACTGTTAACTAAACTTAATTTGTGTGGGAAATTGCACAGTGACATTTTTAATAAAACAAAAATATAAATATTAATCCTTGCAAAATTGTTATACAGTGAAAATTATAATAAAACATAAATAGTAACATTATTTCTTGCAAAATTACTATACAGTGAAAATTATAATAAAACATAAATATTAATATTAAACCTTGCAAAATTACTTATACAATTAAATTTATAATAAAACATAAATATTAATATTAAACCTTGCAAAATTACTTATACAATTAAATTTATAATAAAACATAAATATTAATATTAAACCTTGCAAAATTACTTATACAATTAAATTTATAATAAAACATAAATATTAATATTAAACCTTGCAAAATTACTTATACAATTAAATTTATAATAAAACATAAATATTAATATTAAACCTTGCAAAATTACTTATACAATTAAATTTATAATAAAACATAAATATTAATATTAAACCTTGCAAAAATTACTATACAGTGAAAATTATAATAAAACATAAATATTAATATTAAACCTTGCAAAATTACTTATACAATTAAATTTATAATAAAACATAAATATTAATATTAATCTTTGCTAAAATCTTGCACAATGAAATTTATAAAAAAAAATTGAAAATAATAGAACAAGGAATAAAACAACACAAAATAAAAGTATCACTTGTTAAAACTTGAAAAAGCATAAAAATAATACAAAAAGTTCTATAAGTACAGCTACATAATTACGCTGCTGTATAATGATGATACTCTACGTGTATTGATAATTGCAAACAATAAGTACAGTTATAGGAGAAAGTTCGATAAGGTATAACTGCATGGGAAAGGCAAATAACGGGAGGAATAATACGATACCATGTACTCTATACGTTGGTTAATACGATGTTTAAAATGGTACGATGATCTTTTACTATGTTACAGTGTAAACAGTGCGGAAAAGCCTTCAAACGATCGAGCACTCTTAGCACTCACCTACTGATCCATTCTGACACCAGACCGTATCCCTGTCAATACTGTGGCAAAAGGTTTCATCAGAAGTCGGATATGAAGAAGCACACCTATATTCACACCGGTGAGTCTCTATTCTGAATGTTCTTCAATATTTGAATATTTTTCATTTTTTAATTTTTACGTGAACAAAATTTTTTGGGGAAATTGGGGGGTTGGGGGATTTTGGAATTTGGAGATTGAAAGTTTGGGAAACTTAGAAGGTTCAAAATTTGGGGTTTTGGAAATTTGGAAATTTGGAAGTTAGAGACTTTGGAAATTGAGGAATTGGTAGTTAAAGAATTTAGAAGTTTAATCATTTGGAAATTGAGAATTTGGAAATTTGAGAATTTGGAAATTTGATAGTTTGGAAATTTGAGAGATTTGAAAATTTGAAAATTTGAAAATTTGAAAATTTGAAAATTTGAAAATTTGAAAATTTGAAAATTTGAAAATTTGAAAATTTGAAAATTTGAAAATTTGAAAATTTGAAAATTTGAAAATTTGAAAAAGTGAAGAATTGAAAAATTGAAAAATTGGAAAATGTGTTGATGTAACGTTTTCTTGTTTTTGCGTGTGGAATATTTTGGTGAAGTTTGATGGTAAATTATTGAGAGAGTGCGTATATAGCGGTCACATATCTAGCGTTCGTATATCTGGCTGTCGCATATGCAGCGTTCTCATATATGGCGCTCACATATCTAGCACTCATTCTTAAAGTTTTGTGGTACGATATGATGAAACATAATCTAATTTAAGTACGTTCTGACAATTTTACTTTCTGAAAATATTCCAGTATGGAAAGTTTAATTTTGACAATGAAGAACTTGATATATTTTAATAACATCCAAAATCTTCTCTTTCAAAAAATAATTTCTTGATACAGAAAACAATTAAAAACAGTCTTTTCGTAAAATTACCATTTTTGAATGATGGTAAACAATTATAAAATTGTAAACAGTTATAAACTCTCGGTATAAAATGTTTCTATTATATACAAAAGTTTAGTCTCGTTATCAAAAGTTTACAAAGTTTCGAGTTTTCGCCATTGCAAAAAGTTCGTCGCATAAAGTATTACAGGCAGGAACAACGGAGGAACTTAAAAAGTGGTGTCTTACTTGCTGAAGCACATGTTCATAACTCTTGTTCATCGCAACGATGGCAGTTTGAATAATGCATCGAGTGAACGAGCATATCAGAAACGAAACGGTTCGTTTGAATAATTGAAAAATCGTACGTGCAAGTTTTCCTAGTCTGGCGAGTTGGTTGCGTTTTTGGAAAATTGACGACGAAGTTTAAGTTACATAACCTGGGGAATTAACTAGAATAGTATTTAGCTGAAAATACTTACTGACTGAAGAAATATTTAGATGAAAATTGTTTATTGACTGAAAAAAATATTAAACTGAAAAACATTTTTTGACTACAAATTTATTAAGTTATAAAATATTTGTTGACTAAAGAAAAGTACTTCGCTAAAACATATTTGACTGAAAATTGTTTTTGTCGACTGAAAAAAATATTGAACTAAGAAATGTTTGTTGACTAGAAAATTATTAAGCAATAAAATATTTGTTATCTGGAAAAGTACTTCACTGTAAAATATTTAACATAAAAATTGATTGAAAAATTATTAAACTTGCTTTATTAACGACATTTACCTAACCTGATTAATTTTATAAAATAATATAATGACTACAATATAAATTAATAGAAAATTATAATATTTACAATATAATACTTAGAACGACAATTTTACTAATTATTTAATTATGCAGATTAAAAAATAATACAGAATGTATCCATAAAATACATGAATTAAAAATAATACATGGTGTTTCTATAAAATACATACACAAATATTATAAGAACATTAAACATAAAAAGAATAGTACAAATATTTAGTAAAATCATACTCATTTATTTAAGAAATAATTATTAACTAGAAATAAATAATTTTAGAGAAGCGACGAAATTAAACGAGTAAATATTTATAAGACATAAAAACAGGGGACAGGAATTCAATTAACTCCAACCGGTGGACTAATAAGCTGAAAAAGGAGATCAACATATTAAATCAGATTAGTTGTAAATTTGATTCCCTCGAGCCACGTGCGATTGGACAACTAAGTCGACGGATCATTGACGCATTCTTAAATGGCGGCTATACGGAAATACAAAGAATGTGTTGCAATTTCTTACGCAATGAATTGTTCAACTTTCCTACGAATTTTCTTGCGTTTTTTGTATTTAGCTGCGTCTACGAATTGCAATTTTAAACTAATTAAACGAATTAAGATGAAAATTATTTAATTCAATTTAATTATTATTTATTTAGTTAGTTAAACGAATAAGAATAAAAATTATTTAGTTTAATTTAATCATGTAGTAGAATTATTATTTATTTATTTATTTATTTAATTGAACAAATTAACATAAAAATTATTTAATTTAATTTAATCATGCGATTCAATTATGATTTATTTATTTAATTATTTAAACAAATTAAAATGATTTAATTTGTCTAATTTTTGCAACTTGATTAATTACTTCTAACTGTTTTCAAATTTTTCATTCCTACAAGGTGATAACGACGATAAATACTACTTGCTATTGCTAAATACCATTTATTACAGTAATAAATTTTAATTTACTGTTTAAATCGCCTGTGACAGGAGCTCTGACTGTAATAAGTCTTACTCCAATTTTTAATACCCCTCAATTTGGAATTGTGTTATAATTATCATTTGCATAATTGAGAATTACTGAATACAAAATTGACATAACGTTTTAACTACCTTTAAATTACCGGAGAATATACTCAAAATATTAACTAGTATTTATTGCAAATTAATAAAGTATTTCTTCTAAATGAATTACGAAATGACAGATGAATGCAGATGTAAAGCATTGTTTTAACGCCATACTTGCACACTGTGTATTTTCGGAATACCAAAGTCTAATGGCGGCCACTTAACCCTAGATTTACGGACATTTACGACTTCTATTTAAACTGAAACTAAATTACAAAAATAAATAAAGGATACGTAAACTAGCTTATAAAATTGATCTCGACGAAGGTCATTTTGACAAAAGCTTCTTAATTTTCGTAATTGAAAATAGGGAATCTAAGATCCGTCATTTTCACGGGTTCCGTAAAGTGTCAAGCTGGCTAAAGTATGAAATCAAATATTTATCGCGGGACTTTTGCAAAGTTTAAATGAGTTGTTCCAGGCTGAGGAGGATTAACTTCGTTGTTCATTTTTTGAACGAGTGATTAAATACCGACTTTGACCGCCATTTTGTGCATTAGTTGACAGCCATGTTCAGGGTACAAAATAATGGCGGTCATTTAGATGGACCGAAGTCCGAAATACTTGTGACGTTTTGTGAACTTAAAATGAATCATTAGAATATTTGATAAATATTGAAATATTAGTATTGAATTAATAGGATAAATTAATTGCTCTTTACTTGTTGCATGAGCGATTAAATAAACACTGACTTTGACCGCCATTTTGTGAATTTATAGTAACCTTGTTTAGAGCAGAATTTGAACACAGTAAAATTTGAATGAAATATCTGTTATGAATTACCAATTAGTTAACTTAAAATGTTGAATTATGAAAATAATTATTAAAAATATATTGAATATTTATTAGTATTGAATTAGCAGAAACTTTGCCATTCATTTTTCAGATACAGTCAGTAATTAAACAGACACTTATCTACCATTTTCTGTATTTATTAACGATAGCAGCCATTTTATATTCAAGTTAAAAACCGCTAATGGCCATTTAAGCACAGCAATTTTGTTACAGCTACTTCTTCTATTCACAAGTTCTAATAGCGAAAGATTAACGAAAGCAAAAGAAGGTTTGTGTAAGAAATCTTGATTTATGTAGCGAGGGAAACGTTTTAGGGACGGTTTTGATCGGGTTCTCGCGATAGAAAGAACCGGAAGGAGATAGGCGACTGATGGGAAACGCGGTGTTTGTCACGGTCCGAGGGAACTTCCGGTTAGACACGTGCCACGAGGATCGCGTCCCTTTTTAATTAGCATCATAAGGGCTGGACGCGTGCTCGTCGAAGACACCTCTTTTTTTTTATCCGTTACTGGAAACCGTCTGTGCCCCCGTTTCATGAAACAACCGTTAATGCAAATTTAATCGTTCATCGTCGCGATTTCTTTCGACCGATTATTTTCTTCAATTTTCTGCACGACATATTTTACATTTAAAAACGTAAATTTATTAAAAATTTGTTAATTAGAAAGTTTGGAAAATTGATAAATTGGAAAGTTGGAAAATGTAAGAATTGAAGAATTGAAGAATTGAAGAATTGAAGAATTGAGGAATTGAGGAATTGAAGAATTGAGGAACTGAAGAATTGAAGAATTGAAGAACTGAGGAATTGAAGAATTGTAGAATTGAGGAATTGAAGAATTGAGGAATTAAAGAATTGAGGAATTAAAGAATTGAGGAATTGAAGAATTGTAGAATTGAGGAATTTAAGAATTGTAGAATTGCAGAATTGAGGAATTGAAGAATTAAGGAATTGAGGAATTGAGGAACTGAGGAATTGAGAAACTGAGGAATTGAGGAATTGAGGAATTGAGGAATTGAGGAATTGAGGAATTGAGGAATTGAAGAATTATAGAATTGAAGAACTGAGGAATTGAAGAATTGAAGAATTGAAGAATTTTAGAATTGAAGAATTTTAGAATTGAAGAAATGAAGAAATGAAAAATTGAAGGAATGAAAAATTCTAAAATTCTCAAATTCTGAAATTCCAAAATTCTCAAATTCCAAAATTCTCAAATTCTAAAACTCTCAAATTCCAAAACTCTCCAATTCCAAAACTCTCCAATTCCAAAACTCTCCAATTCCAACATTCTCAAATTCCAAATCTCTCAAATTCCAAAACTCTCCAATTTCAAAATTCTCAAATTCCAAAATTCTCCAATTCCAAAATTCTCAAATTCCAAAACTCTCAAATTCCAAACTTCGCAAGTTCCAAAATTCTCAAATTCCAAAACTCTCCAATTGCAACATTCTCAAATTCCAAAACTCTCCAATTTCAAAA